GGAGCATTTTGGGCAAAACCACTTCCCTTTAGGTTTAGTGGTCAGCCCAACACAAGCAAAGTGGAACCATTCAATTGGGCACTGAAAAAGAGAACATGAATCATATGAAAATATAGAACTGTATGCATTTGAATCACACACACTCCTGTTAAGCTGTTGTTTCCGCTCCTTGGTTGTCAAAATTAAAGGTATCACAAAGATAGCTCCTGTATATAACAACAACAGTGTGCAATAGGGATAACAGCTATGCTATGAAAGCAATGAATGGATTAGTATGTCATGAAATGGACCATGCACTCTATTTCTTATTACTAATACTTACATCAGGGTTATCACAGCCAATCATTTCCCCATATGACACCTGGTGGCAGAGACAATATGTAGGTTCGTTGGGGTCCACTGGCATGTCAAGTACATCTGAGGGATGAGCTATTCCAGCCAATCCAGGCAACACTGATGCCAAGCCAGTATCTACACCTGTAAGTCCAGCTAATCCTCCGGAAGTTGAACTAGTTCCTGAGCCTGATACAGTTCCACTGCTTGAGTTGATGCCACCTTTCTTCTGTTTCTTCCTAGCTGCTTTGACAGCCTCCTCTTCAGAAGAACCACCACCAACACGTTTCTTTTTCTCCTTTTCTTTTAGCTTTTTACGTCCTTCTGCAAAACATAAATAAAACTGATTTTCAGGATATAACTCTAATTTAAAACACTACATATCTATGAAAGAAACCTAGTGATTCCAAGCATGTAGGACAGCATGTATTTATAATGGCACTGGATTAAATAATATTTAACATTTTCATATCTAACTATTAAATGTTCAATACAGGTGTGACAAAACTCCTGTCTTTTTAAGTAAAAGAAGGTCTATATGGTATTTGAGTATATATACATATGCTTTTAATCCTAGTATCAATGTAAATTCCAAGACCATACTCTTTGTTGATACAGAGTCTTCTTGATTTCTAGAGTTGCTTAATGCCTTGTCCTGTATTTCAGTTTCAAATCTAGCAAGATCTGAATCAAGTCGTCTAATGTGTTTGTCGACCTGCAATTAAAAAAAATTTAAATCATATGACTTATCACATGGGAACAGGATTTAAACCCTTGTACTGTAGGGCTGTTGGCCAGGCTTTAATTCCTAAATAGAAATAGATGGATACAATACCATATAAATGTAGCATATAAGAAAAAGCTGCTGTTGATTTGTATATATAACAAAAGTATGATAAGTATCAGCAACAGAAACCCATTTAGTTTGGATTCTACTGGTCATACTTAACTGAGGAATCCACTTCTACTTTATTGCCATGAAGTAACCAGTGACTCAGAATTATACACTCCCCTAAGGTATGCAACTTAATAATTACCAATAACTGATATTTTGAGATACAAAATTCAAAAGCTTTCATATGGATTATAGTGACTAGCTACGGGCTGGACGACCGGGGTTCAATCCCCGACGGGGGCAGAGAATTTTTCCTCTAGCCTCTGCGTCCAGACTGGCTCTGGGGCCCACCCAGCCTCCTATCTAATGGGTACCGGGGTCCTTTCCCGGGGGTAAAGCCAGCTGGGGCGTGATGCTGACCACTCACCCCCATCTGGTGCTGAGGTCAAGGAAGAGAGGAGCTGTACCTCCACTCACCCCAAACGCCTACATGTCGTATAGTGGGACAAACTTTACTTAATGTAATTTTTAATAAATTTAAATGGATCTTATGTGAGAACTGTTAAAGAATACTTTATTTTTATATGCTGTTGTGACTACTTATGTTGCAATATTAGAAATGCTTGTTTATTTTCAATAACAGGTGAACTTATGATGTTTGGAGTATGTATGTATGATAAACAGCAAAGTCCTTACTGAGAAGCTAATATTCACTTGGAAAGGACATTTCCTGCCCTACTGATAGTTCATTGACATGTTCAAAAGAGGCTGTCAATGGACATTATCCTGAGCTAAATTAATCCAGTCCACACATTCAATTTCTTACCAATTCATAAGTTTGAATGGCTAGTTGTACTTTGTCATCTCCATATTCCTTTGCCTTATTAAATAGGCTCTGTATATTACTCATTTGTTCTTTCTTCTTATCAGGTGGCAGAGTCTTTACGTTTCGAAGGTATTCGTCTGCTAGACGGTCAATATTTCGCATTAGGGCTTGGGCCCTGGCATCTAAATCCCTCATTAAAGTGAAGTTTCGCTGAAGCTCAATGGGCAGATGCTCTAGACCTGAAAGAATACGACATGTACACAAGCATCTAAACACCGGATTTCGATACAATAACCCTACGTGTAACAAACATGCACTTACTATCTAAATAATGCTCTAAATACAGGGCAGACGTCATGGTCGGTTGGCGTTTTTCTGAGTTGATATACTGAAGTTTGAACTGATGCAACTACAACAATTCAAACACTATTCTCTAAATAGTATTTTACATCATTTCTTTAACATCAATCAACAAAATTATTATCATGGCACAAGAAACAAAAAGTCCCCAACCAAAACGCCAAACATCTTTGGATATCACTTTAAACCACCATTCACTATCTTGTTGGTACTGCCTGTTGTAACAGTGCAGCCAATTAATCCTTGCAACCGCCGACAATACAACCAACATCTGAAGCTCAAAAATGAAATGCTTTGGCGCGCGCAAGAATGTAATCATATGCCAAACGTTTAATATGAGAAGAAAGGACTGTAACAAACGACTGTGCCACAACTTTGGCAGTTGCTCGTTTTTCACTTAGGAGGCATGTAGGCAGTGGCGGCGAAGTGGGCGACGCCCCACGGCCACGAGTGTCGTAAATGACAACGGCAGAGTGACTGTATACTGTTTGGTCACATTATCACTTTCTTATATCTCGATGCAGATATAATGAAATTAAAATTATACATATTGCCACCATCCTTCGGAACGTTGCAGTCGAGTGGTTAGCACATATGCTGCGTATATGGGAGATTCTGGGTTCACACCTCGACCCAGAAACTGGCTATCCTGAGGTTTGTAAGTCTCTACACGCGAATGCACAAAGACAAGACAGTCAGTTATAATCGACTGTATTTCTGAAGTTAACTATTTAGTTTTTGTATAGTTACTAATACAACTTCTGCTGTGTAATGACTAAACAAAACTAAAGAACGTATGCCTAGTTCAGAAATTTGAAAAAGCACAGAACTCCACACACCTAAACGGTATGATGCTTTGGCAGAGTGACTTTACTGTTAGTTATCAATCTTAACACAGTTGTGGGCTATCAAGAATTCTGAAGATCTTAACAGGCGAGGGACTGACTCTGTAAACACTGTCTTTTGTCGTTACATATTCCGCACTATCAGTAACACATTGATCCACGCATTCTTAGGTCTTGGCACTATATGTAAATAAATAGTAGTTTCACGCTCCAGACACGTACAGTACCAAGGAATATTTCCCTGAAACCCGTCAGGTAGAGACCTGTTGGTACCGAGATCATGTCCAGCCTTGGTAACAAGGACTGTGAGGAATCAAACCTCGGTTGTTAGATCTTATTTTATCTTTTGTGGCACAGCTGCCCATATTATGTGAAGATAATTCAACAGATCCAACTACGGTCAGTTGCAAGCACAGAGATGTATGATGCATTACGTAATAACGAGCACACGTCCTATAAATGCGGGGCTAACGAGCAACTTGGCAAGGTTGATGACCATATTTGGAGAACAGTCTTTGTAGTAGTCATCTAGCAATTTAGAGGTCAAGCGTGTCAGAGTTAAAGAGACTATCAAAGACTTGTGTGTTTTCTGCACGAATTGTATGCAGTGCACGCTTAATAAGTAGCAGCATTCACGTGTTTGAAGATGAAATGTAAAATGATAACTGTCAGGCTGATTTTATTTTATTATTGGTCTAATACAACCACGACTACAATTACACTTCATCAAATTTCTGAAAAGGGGGGGGGGGAGAATTATTTACTCTAAAACTTGACACATAATACTTGTTTATTTTAAATATTTTTCGATCTAGTAGGCCTATATATAGGCCGATATGTAAAATTTGGCAAAGTTCAGTGGAATGGCAATAACAAAAATTTAATCCTTTTGAAGTTCTTACAGTGGCGAGTACGAAGATGGTTGTCTTCTGGGTTGTTGTACTGAGTAGTCTTGTAGAAGTTAACCGATGTTTCATAGGTGCCTGCTGCTGCAATTATCAGAGCGATGGTAAACTTATACCAGACTACACGGCTCCACAGACCAGAAGACAGCCATTTTTATACTCGCCAACGTGAGAAACTCAAATCCTACATAGGTTTCTTGTGTAGTAATTTGTCTTAGAACTGAAGTCCTGTGAGGTGATACATTTCTGTTTTGCTTTTTGTAATGCCTTTAGTGCGATAATTATAGTTTGGTCCCTGTAAATTAAAGGAAAGTAATTAATAACGTTCTAACTTAGTGGTCTGATCCACGGTTAGCTGGATAATTACCTGCATTCATAATTACGGTGGCATTAACAATGATGGTTATACACCGAATCGCGTGCCCATATAAGGGCATAGTTTTCCAACAGGTTCTGCTAGGTTATAATGCTTTCATATCAGATAAAAGCGTCTTGTTTGTTCACTGACAGTAACGCATGCTTGCGACCAGACAGCATATCGCAATGAAAAATGTGAGTGACCCGTCTTCCTTATAGCGAAGACCATTTTTAAGGCACCTTTTTCTTTACGATAAATAAAATTACATTTCAAAAACATTTTGTTATTTGTTGTTCTACACGGAATATTTATTATTTATTTATTTTGGAAACAATTAATCGTATTTCCCAAAATGCTGGCGCAGTTTAGGCAGCCATTATGAATTAATGATGAAGGTTAGAATGGATCTGCCAGTAATGAATTACTACGTGAAGTCAATATTATATTGGTAACCACTTTATGATTGACCCCTAAAATATTTCGCTAGTTCATAAAATTGAATTTATTTGGCTACCCCTTTTTTAAAATGACGACCATCGTGTTTCCTTTTTCATTGTTACTGAACGTACACGCTCTGATTCAATAAATTAATGTCCTGAAGTGCAGCACATAATCCTCTTAGATATTTACAAGGGCCAAACAGAATCTTAGATCGATGTATGCTGTCTGTGCAGTTAAGGTCAAAGGCATTCATCCTATTAATAAATAATTAGCTATTTGAAGCCGAAGCTCGTCTAAATAGTGTTAAGAATTCAGACCGTACGTCAAATAAAGCAAAACACTCCAGTATTACAAAAATCAGTTGTTCACGCTGTTTAAGGAAATGGTCGCTGTTTATTCTGAAGATTGTACGAAACCCATAAATATAAGTGCAGAGTTACTGATTGGTAAAGCATGTGGTACATATTGAGCCCATTGGGGTTTAAAGGATTACCTATACTTTACATAAGTTGAAAGAAACTGCTGTAGACTGCTCTATATAGATCATACGGACAGTGAAATGAAATGGCAGAGGTAAAATAATTTCGTTTAAATGTAAATGAACGTAGCTTGATATTTTTTGACGGAAGGGTCATTCGGCAAAAAAACGTAACAAAGATGTATAAGATCCATATCAACAATGTGTAAATATGGACCGACAACAAATTGTTGTGTTACATTACTGCCGTCAACAATCCGCTTTCGTTATTGTGGAAAGAGCTGAGCAGTCAATCGGTTGTAGAAGAAGTGCGTCGTATACTATATAATTTTGTGCTCGTAAAAACCTTTTAGAATATCACAGGTACTTATCTTATATAAGAATTATTACATTACATTACATTTCATTATATTATAGAGACGTATTTACGTCAGATTCTCCGAAACCGTGGTTCCACTGTCAACTTTTATTTCTTGACATTCCTAATCACTTGTAGCTTACATGAAACCAGTGTATTTAGGCCTAAAAGTTAAATGTTTCCGTATATCGCAGAGTAGCAAGTTTGCTTCACAATAAAATTTCTACGATACAAAAGAAACAATTAACGCAGAATCATGAAAACTTATAGGCTATAGTAAAACTTCTACAATATATTTCTTAAAGTACGATATTTAATGGGGGGCTTTCTTTTGACGTAAATACGTCTATACGGAAGGGTCATTCGGCAAAACAGCGTAACGAAGATGTATAAGATCCATATCAACAATGTGTAAATATGGACCGACAACAATAGTTATGTTACCTAAGAAACTAATTGTTACGTCATCTGTTTACTCGGCATTGTTGTGTTACATTACTGCCGTAAACAACAATGGTCAGCTTTTATATGAATTCCTGCGTGCATTGTTATTTTACCTAAAAAACTAATTGTTACGTCATCTGTTTACTCGGCATTGTTGTGTTACATTACTGCCGTCTACAACAATGGCCAGCTTTTATATGAATTCCTGCGTGCATTGTTATTTTACCTAAGTAACTAATTGTTACGTCAGCTGTTTACTCGGTATTGTTGTGTTACATTACTGCCGCCAACAATCCGCTTTCGTTATTGTGGAAAGAACTGAGCTGTGAATCGCTTGTAGAAGAAGTGCGTCGTAGATTAGATAATTTTGTGCTGGTAAAAACGTTTTAGAATATCACAGGTACTTATCTTATATAAGAATTATTACATTACATTACATTTCATTATATTATAGAGACGTATTTACGTCAGATTCTCCGGAACCGTGGTTCCACTGTCAACTTTTTTCTAAATTGGCGATGAAGCAAAATTAATTTTGATAAGTCGTTGAATGTCTTAGTTGTGGTCAATTAATGACTTTTGCCAGTAGCTGAGACTGTGTAGCATTTTTTTTTGTGAAAGGAAGTGGTCGTGATACAATATGATGTTTTGGCATCTGCATGGACGAGCTGATAAAAACCACTAAAATATCAATCCGGGATGGATTGACAGAAAAGAGAGAGAGAGAGAGAGAGAGAGAGAGAGATTCAGGCGGTGTCCAGGTTGAGATTTGAACCCGTGACCTCCCGAACAAGAAACAAGTGTCAATCACTCGGCAGCCAAGTTCGATATTCGGCCATATTGCTGTTTTGTTTCAGAATACGTGCGCTTCACGCCTGTTCCATTGTTGCGTGCAGCCACTTCCCCTTTAATTAACCACGGCCCTGTTAACCAGACCAGTACAGGCCATGTTTTAAGGTCGTTGTTACTAGCACCGTCGAATCCATGTTTACGGTGTCATAGCCATTCCTTCACATGTGTAAGCGTTGCTAATTAGTCACAGAGAAATGCCTGTGTTACCTATTTGCTCTAATTAATACAGGAACCTCGCATAATCCAGTTGTAGTCCACTTGCAAGTTCTTGGCGGTCAATGTAGTGAAAAGTTTCACATTCAGCACACTGAGAGATCAGAACTTACATTTCTTCAGTTTTCCAATAATAAAATTGCTTATAATAAAATACAAAACTTAAGCTGAACGCCAACTCAGAAGTAGCATCCACACTCTTTTGCAGGTTCATTGCACAAAGTACGATGTGTCCATCAATATGTTTTATTTCCAGCGCTACTAACTGATTTCCAATGGATTTGGTACTGGGGCTGATTAATTGATTAATTCTCTAGTTGTTTAAAAGTTTATGTTTAAAGTACAATGGGCTGAATTAATCAGGCTCGGGACAGACACTCCTGGTGTACATGATACCGGATTTTTCACGACAGTAATCATTATGGATCCATAAAAGGCGGAGAATCTCTTGATTGGCTGAGCAACTTGTATCTTCTAAACTTGCACTTTGCTCCATTGAGTTAATTTGTTTAACGTTCAGAAATTATACGGGCTGTTGTTGAATCACATGGAAAGGTAATCATGAATTTATGATTTGGAAGGCGGTGGTTGTCAGGACAGCTGTTTTTAACCTGCGTTCCTTGCGTGCACATTAACGACACATTAACTTGTTTGGATTGATGTAGTTGTCAGGACAATCTGATTTTTATTAGTCTCGGTTTGGCGTATTTCTTACTTGAAATTAAATTGAAGTCAATCTTTTTCAAGTTTTTATTTTAAAGGAAGGTTAGTTGATCTTGCTGTAGGCAGGCATACATGCAGGCTTTTAACCAAAGCGCTGGTCTTTCATCCTAGTTCTTTTAAAAATAAACTGTACTGAAACAATGAAATTGTTTATTATTATGGTAGTTATTATATGAATACATGTCCTTGTTGACAATTCTTGTCAGTATTTACCTCCGTAGCGTTGTGTACTGATCTCTTTATGCATTAAACTGTTGACAAGAAACGAGGTAGTATTGGACATACATAGTATTTTTCCACAATAAAAGCCAGACAGAAACGAAAACACAAACTGCATTTGGAAAAATTTTGTAGCCAACTCTAAGGAATTTAGAATACATTATACTTTTCTTATTGTATGCATACATTAATTTCTGATCCGAGAACCCCCGCCTGTATTGAGTAGCCCTGTCTTAGTGACTCACATGAAGACTTTTCTCACTGTAAATCCTTTCCTTTATTTGGAAATCTGTGGCAATTCTTCGCCCCACACAGGCGTTCCTATCCAAGAGTTACAAAGTGACAGTCATTACAAGTTTATATTATGATATCGTTTGATGGGGATAACGTTTGGTACAGAAATGGTAAGACGTCGCGTTACTAGGTCAGGGGCCGTCCGGTTTTCTACCTATCCATGTGATCAGTCCGTATTTAAACAGCGGACTACTGCATTTACCTCATCATTCCAGACTTGCAGGTGCTCAGTGTGTGTTGGTGCTGTATGACGAAGAAGATCTAGATCCTTCAAAAACAAATTCTTTAGAGCTTACAATAAACTGTAGATTTCTGGATTTTGTTCTTATTCCAAGTTCATATATAAATATTGAAGATGTGCGACGATGATGTGGCTGCTTTGGTTGTTGACAATGGATCTGGAATGTGCAAAGCCGGATTTGCGGGAGATGACGCTCCAAGGGCCGTCTTCCCATCTATTGTTGGAAGACCTCGCTATCAGGTGAGAGAAATAATCGGTTCCAGGATTTGGTTTACCAAAATTATGTGACCAAAATGTTAGTAAAACTATGCGTTAATGTTTCTACTAATGACAAGGATTTTAAATATAATTTAATCATCACAATATACTTACAGTATATTTATGCAACATTTTTACGTTATGTGGAATCGTATTTTGTACATTTATATACCAATAGTCGTTATTTTCTTAGTGTAGTACTGATTTTGTCTACGTTAACGTTGTCAGAGACGAGAAATGCATAAAATATTTTGGTTGGAAATCCTGGCAGTAAGAGGTCACTTGGAAGATCTAAGAGTAGATGGAGATAATATTAAAATGGATTTTTATGGAAATATGTTTAGTGAGTGTGGATTTGATTAATCTTAACCACATTTCTAATTGTTGACTTAAAACAAAATTTATTATAGAATTTATGTATGTGTATGTTTATCTATCTGCGTAAGAGATTTCAAATGTCAGGATTCATTGATTTTTTTAAGTATCACAATCAAAACTAAAAGCTAATTAAATATTTCATGCAGCTGCCATGTTGTTGTTTTACATTATGCAAAAACAGTATAACAAAAGTTGCATATTTTTTACTATTTGTGCTGAAAACACTTATTTATATTTTATTTCACAGTCTATCTAAACTGAATAATTTCATAGAGCAGTTTATGTTAAAAAACTGATAGTCACTCAGCTGGTAAAAAAATTCTGTCTTATATGAACCCAAAGTTATTTGTAAATTACAATTTGTGTTCTTCTTTCTTCGTATTACCCTTCATAAATATTTAAATTTGGGCACTGACATTATTCTTTGGGCATCCTGTGACAAACAGTAGAAAGTATAACAATGAGGGAGTATATTTCTCAGGAAATACAATAATGTATTTACACATATTTAATTATTGTGCAGGGCATAATGGTAGGCATGGGTCAGAAGGATAGTTATGTTGGAGATGAAGCCCAGTCTAAGAGAGGCATCCTGACAGTAAAGTACCCCATTGAACATGGCATTGTTACCAATTGGGATGACATGGAGAAAATCTGGCACCATACATTCTACAATGAGCTGCGGGTGGCACCAGAGGAGCATCCTGTGTTGCTAACTGAAGCACCACTTAATCCAAAGGCGAACAGAGAGAAGATGACACAGGTATGTCAATTGGCACTTGACACATTTACAATAATTGTGGTTCAACATTTACCAGATAACTTAAGATTAATATATCAGACTTAAGCGATGATTTTAATAAATACTGTATTTAATTTTCTGCAATAAATCACACTCTTCTTACTTTTTAACTATTTTTAAATATCTGTTCACAACCAGAGAATGACCTCAGTGTTAATGTTTCCCTGGACCTGTTGCATTGTTCATTGCTCTAAAAATGAAGCGACAACATTTCAGGAGCTAGCTCTTCTCCCATCTTAATGTGAAAATGCCTGGATGGTCCCAGCCAAAAATTTGTAATAATGACAATTTACTCAAGATTTTGTAGTGTCCTTTCCCAGCAGGAAATAAAGGCACAAAAGAGATAAAGCACTTCAATGTCTCAGATGACAAATTTGTGTGCTCTTTATGCTGCAAAAGCTACAGTAGATTCTACATGAAATTGTATGGAAAATGAGTGGAAACCATTACAAAGTACAGTAATATAAGAGTAATCAGCATTACACCTAATTGTTTTCATACATTTATCATCTCACCACTACCACTACCATGATTATCATCACCAAAAGAGATAAAGAACAGGAACAGTATGAGGGGTGGAGAAATGAAAGAAATTATTCTTCACTGAATTTCAACAGAATTTTTCTGCAAGTTCATGACTGTAGCTTGTGGCCAAACTCGAGAATTGCTGCATCATGCAACATGTATTGATTCTTGAGAATATCGTGTACAAAATGTTATTGAATTTGTGTAATTTATACAGTAATCACCATATTTAAAAATTAATAATTAACAATTATTTTCTGATACAGATTATGTTTGAGACTTTCAACACACCTGCAATGTATGTGGCTATTCAAGCTGTTCTTTCCTTGTATGCATCAGGAAGAACTACAGGTATTGTGTTGGATTCAGGGGATGGTGTCTCTCACACAGTACCTATATATGAAGGTAAGATTTCTTGGAGTTGCTGTTTTTATTGACTCATACTCTAAGTATTTTGTTTATCTCCTGGCTACTTTTAACAACTTGAAGTACTGTTATAGGTAGCAAACACAGTGCCAACAAACTCCATGTTCATTTTCACTTTTTTTTAAAGTTATGCAAGTAGTTAGGAGTCAAAATGACTGGATTTGATTAAGTAATATTACAGGATGTATAAAAATATATAACTTATGTAGTAATTTCTGTGGTAAAACAATAAAAAAATAATTCATACAAGCATGTTAAGTTTTGTTTCTGTACAGACCCAGAGGGTATTTATGTTGCTATAAGTACATCTACTGAAATATGTATAAAATGTAACCAGGAATTATTCAGTGGATTGCTTCAGTCTCTCTCACAACGAACAGAAACATACATAAAAATAAATAGATTTAAGTTTGAACATGAAGTTGGCTGTCTTCTGGGTTGTAGTGCCATGTAGTCTAATATCTTATTATATTGCTTATTCTTAGGATATGCACTGCCTCATGCAATTCTTCGCCTGGACCTGGCTGGTCGAGATTTAACAGATTACTTAATGAAGATTCTCACAGAGCGGGGATACAGTTTCACAACCACAGCTGAACGTGAAATAGTTAGGGACATCAAGGAAAAACTGTGCTATGTTGCACTTGATTTTGAGCAAGAAATGGCTACTGCAGCTTCATCTAGCTCATTGGAGAAGTCATATGAACTACCTGATGGACAAGTAAGTTGGCTCATATAAATAGAAAAGTATTTAAAATTATAATGTCAGTGTTTTCGTTGCCTGAACATATGATTTATATATTGGTCAGAGAGAACTACATATCCAATTATTGAGCTGGAGTAGTTCAGTTAGTAAAGCAATTGGCTGAGGGATGGGTCACCAAATTCTGATTCACAGATGGAACAGGGATTTTTTTCCTTACCACTTTGTCCAGAATAGGTTTGGGGTCTATCCAGCCTCCTATTCAATGAATACAGGTGTTAGACTAGCTGGAGATAGAAACTGTCCACTCACCAATACTAATGAAGTGATTGAAGGTTTGCCTACATGACCCATAAACCTGGTTCTCAAGCCAAGGGATGTATAATTAACTAACATAGCCTGCTCTACAATGGGTACCAGGGTCCTTTCCCGGGGGTAAAGCCGGCCGGGGCGTGATGCTGACCACTCACCCCCATCTAGTGCCGAGGTCAAGGAAGGGAGGAGCTATACCTCCTCTCACCCCAAGTGCCTACATGGCGCATAGCGGGACAAACTTTACTTAATAGTAGCTTTTCAGGCTTTTTAAAATATACACATGAATGTACATACATTTGTTCTTAGGCGGTTACAAATTAGAATAAATTTACATATGGATCTAACAAATAGCATTGTGTACAGTCATTAGTGAAGTGATCAGGTAGCTTCATGAAAGAGCTGCTTCACATTCCTGTATATTCGACACTGCAGAAAGTATTCTGAATTAAATAGGCATACAATTTCTGTTCACATTTGTTCCTCTTATTTTTCAGCAAATAAACTCTTGGTGATTAATTTAGTGGTGGACAAATGTGTCTTACTCAGATATGTGTGTCCATACGCACATAAACATTGTTATTATGTAAAAGAACTTTAATTTACATGTAAAACTAATTAATAAAAGTTATTAATTATTTCTTAGTTATTTAACAGCACTGTGGTGTTAAATGAGGTATTCTCTGATATTTTTCTGACCAGGTGATTACTATCGGAAATGAGAGATTCAGGTGTCCTGAAGCTATGTTCCAGCCATCATTCCTAGGTATGGAGTCATGTGGTATCCATGAGACAACATACAACTCCATCATGAAGTGTGATGTTGATATTAGAAAAGATCTGTATGCCAATACAGTACTTTCAGGGGGAACGACTATGTACCCTGGTATTGCAGACAGGTAAGTCTGGAGGGAATTTGTTACCTCAATTTACTCATGAGTCTAACATTGCAGAGCTAAAATCAAATTCAAAGATGTTGTCACAACATGATACCTTCCATTTCTCCATCATTTCTGAATTGTAATACAAGATAATATTTTGTTTTGAGTTTGGAATGGGTGTGAGGAGAAACATTGATTTTTTTGAATATTTGTTACATAAAGGGGTTTAGTTGTAAATATTTAACCTTTTAGTTTAGCAGTTAGATTTGTGAGTACTTAAATTTATATATGTATAATGTACTGGATTGTGTGTATTTCAGGATGCAAAAAGAAATAACAGCTCTAGCACCCTCAACAATGAAGATAAAGATCATTGCACCTCCAGAAAGGAAATATTCTGTATGGATTGGTGGCTCCATCTTAGCATCTTTATCCACATTCCAACAAATGTGGATTTCAAAGCAGGAATATGACGAGTCTGGGCCTTCAATTGTACACAGAAAGTGCTTTTAAATATTTATAACTAAAAATAATTTCCGTTAAACAATGTTGTAATAATTTATAAACATAAAAAGTCTATTTGTGGGACAGGTGGCAATTAACTTATTGTGAAAAATCTTTGTATTAAACCAATTTTGTGCATTGTCTATATACCATTGATTGTTGCATAGATACTGAATTCAATAAAGAGATGAACAAAACATTCTATTTTTCTTATTTCCAGCAGCTATCTTCCTATCAAGCAGGTTTGTGTTGTAAATACAGTCAAGTCTTTTATTCAGAATTTACCTGATTCATATCTCAGTCAAGTTATGAAACAGAATGTCTGAGATTATTGTGGTGTTCTGTATCTCATAATAAAGACAGAACATTCTTGTTTTTACCCTGAAGAGAGAGGAGATTCCTCTGCAATATCATGGTTTCAAAAAACCATTTGTTGTGTGATATGAGGCATGAGTGTTGAGTAGGTTTTCCTTGTGAAATGTGGTCAGGGAGTGGGAGGAAATAAAACAGAGAGTAAGGATGGAATAGTAGCAAACATATTTACCGGTTGAACCCTAGTCTTTATGCAGTTGTTTTTCAGAGATGGCAAATATGAACAAATTCCTTGTGATGGCCACGGATTACCTATGCTGTAGCTTAATGTGATGTTTAAGGCATGAAGTGCTCTCAATATTTGCGATTTGTGGTCAATATAGTGTTACTGAACTTGAAAATGTTGTATTTTTAAATTGTAGACGCAACAGACTGATCAATAATTACGAGGTAAGATGTAATAAAAATTATGAGGCAATGGGTTGTTTAAAAATTGTGTTTGCGTATCTCCGGTTTGAGTGATATCTGTTCGGATTTATTGGACGTTTTATGGTAATTGGTTTTTGAATAATTTGTTTACTTGCATGTTTAAAAATAAAATTCGTTTACAGTTCATACGTTATTGGACCGGGGGACTTGGCATACTTGTCTTTGTCATTCCAGTCATGGTTAGAGGTTAGAAAATCAATCAGACAGTTTATTTCATTTTATTTAAATTCATAAGACCTATTAAACCTAATACCCGCCAGATTTTAGCATTTTAATTTCAGTGTGTCAAAAATTAATTTTCTCAAGAATATTTACAGTCTTATGTTACCAAATAGGCGTACAGGGTAAGGACCATGAGCAACAAATGATATTCTTGAAATCCACCTGTTTTGTTTTTTTTTGTGGAGAACTGCACCTGATACAGTATTTCCTATCTGCCTGCCTGCAGTATACCACAGGACTTTGACATACTAGCAGACCAAACACAAAATATGTAAGATGTGAGGTTTTAACAGTGGTGAGTCTGAAGATTGCTGTATTCTGGGTTGTTGCGCCGTGTAGTCTGGTAGATGTCCACCAACGTTTTAGATGTCATGCTGATGAATTGCCCTGATGACAGAGGCAACATAACCTCTGAAATGTTGGTGGACATCTACCAGACTACATGGCGCAACAACCTAAAAGACAGCAATCTTCAAACACAAAATAGATTAAAAAGCTGTAGAGCTGTTGCTTCTATATGCATGCATGTAAATTAAGTTGAACTACAGGTAAAGTGGACTCTTATGAAATTCAGCCATGGACATTCATTAGAAGGTTGCCAGTAATATATAACCACATCCATTTTAACAGAATCACTCAAGATTAATCACCATACTAACTTGTAGAACTTCCTAACTTGTCATTGAGGCAGTAAATTCAGATTTTTGTTATGAATATTAGGCCAACACTGCTAAACCATTTTTGACAATGTGTCAATCAGTATGACTTCTGAAAATTGTTAAGAACTGCTTAGTGCCTTTGTTGAAGTCATGAATATTATAAATTTCTTTCGTTGTAAACAAATGGTTTGTACCCAGTTGTAGATGTTAACCATTTGGTTTGTATTTTCTTTCAGTGATGTAGATAAAGCCTGAAAGGAGGAGACCACTCAGAAGGCAAAGACATAGATATGAAGACAATATTAAAATAGATATGAAGGAAATCAGGAGGAAGGGTAGAAAGTGGATTCATTTGTCTCAGGATAAGAACTTGTAGTGGGCTCTTTTGAACATGGCAATGAATGTTTGGGTAATTTGAAGGGGTGGGGGGAATTTCTTGACCAGTTGAGTGACTTATCTTGAAGAATTCTAAATCATGGAGTTAGTTTGTTATGTTGACATAATATATTGACACAACAGATTGTCTTATTCACTGTTACTTGGGGTCATAAACTTTCATTTCTTCTGATTATTTATTATATTAATAAAATTGAATGTTTGACTGCTACTTACAGGTGTTGATATGAGCCAGCTTTGTGGGGGCTCGTCTGATGTTGGTCCAAGCTCAAGCCAGTCCGATGATGGAACGTCTCGTATACCACCACAGCCTCCTCCTGCATCCTCATCAGGAGGGTCATCTTCAGGAAGTGCTGCTGCAGCAGACCAGTCCTCACGACAGAGTAATCTTCAACGAATCCAACAGCGCAAACAGCAAGTGTATAACTGGCCCCATAACAAGAAACTCCTCAAGCTGGCCATCTACTCTGCTTGTCAGGTCATTGCTTTACATTAGTTGGAAGTAAAACACCAAGGATCATGATTCTCTGGTAGAGCACGGATCAGTTCAGTCAGTGTGTCCCAAGATTTTGAATCTTGGAAGGTGTTGAGTATTCAGTTTACTAGGTAGCAGGTTCTGACACTAATGATGTTGGAGTTAGTTATTCTCCTTGTTGTTGAACTGGTGCCTATTTGGTTGGGTGATGATGTTATCATGGGGGATGCCCACACATGATTGGCTGTTTGGCTGGAGAACCCTCATGCTGGTTGTTTCCAGCCCTTTCAATTTGTGTACAGAAATGTTTATTCCTTCATGTAAAATGCCAGACTCCCTAATATTAAATTTCTGTGGTTGTCTAGTTGTAAATTATGAACATACAGACAGACATGGGAAGGCTGTTGTTCTGCATATTTGTGCAATTTATAATTGTGAATGTGGCTACAAATAGTAGTTTTAGTTGATTCCATCATATTGGCTTTAACAAAACTTGTGATAGGGAGGCTGTGTTCTTACATAACCATATTCCTCAGTTTCATCTACACGAACATATTCCCACACAAACCTTTCTGAAGGGTTTGTATTAAATTTAACACAGCAAATGATGTCAAGTATTTGGAATCTTATCTACTTGTGTAGGGGCATTGCATGGAAATGAGTGTCTGTTTCTTATTTTTTGTTTTGTTTTTAAACATTTTTCAGGCTGATGACTGCAAATGCAATGGATGGAAGACACCAATACCACCTGCAAAATCTCCTCGAGTAGATGTTTCCCAGCCTTTAGCAAGTTTCACTGATCCTTGTCGTAGCTGCGCACACGTGCTAGGTATGGAATGAAACATGCAAGAGGCATTTAGTCTCATTTACCTGAGTTTGAAATTGCACGCTGTGACATGTTTAGTAAGTGCACTTATCAGATAATCTGTTTACTGATTCAGCTGTGTTTAGAGTGATGGCACATACTTTACAACTTTATGTATCAGTGTCATGGATTTAGCAATACTTGAACACTGAGTAGTGTTTATGTTCCCCATGAAAGAAAGCAAACACTTGGGGACATTCATGGCTATATGTCCAGATTAAATATTGAATCTTCATTTACGTGTTTCAAAATCACGT